TCACTATGATTAAACAAATTCAAAAAGAACAAAATGAAGTTGAAATGGAAATTGAGCAATCAATGCGTGGAGAACCAGCTCCAAAGAAACGCAAAGAAGATGAAAACAGAGAAGCCAGAATTCAAAATGTTATTGCTGATCGTGGTAATAGATCAACTATCGATTTTCTTCGGGGCACTGCTCATAATCTTTCATTGTAAATATTTATGACTATTAATAAAAAGATTTTCTGACGCAACATTTTCCAGAAATTTTAATTTTTTTGACTTCAAATATTTGTCGGCCAAATGGGTTGTCGGCGAAGTGTCCATGTCGGCCAAACAATTTGTCGGCGAAATGGTGTCGGCCAAGTGATGTGTCGGCCAAGTAATTGTCGGCCAAATGAACGCGACCCATCGCAATATATCTAGGAGTAGTGACTTCCTGCTAGTAACAGCTTTGAGGAAATACATTACATGGCGCTTCAAAACTCATTACTTGATTTTTCCTAGCTCGAATGTGGCTTTAATCAATGTGGTTACCAATTCTTCACCAGTATACAAAATCGTTGCTCTCATTGTTGTTTTATACCTTACTTTTATAACAAGCCAGAGCTGATCTGCAGCTTTTCAACTTTGGACCCCTTAATTGTGTCACGGCAATTCGTCTTAGTAATCGTTAGCAGTTATCTATTATTATTACGTGATTGAGTGTCAAAATAGTATGTTCTAGTAATAGTAATTCTGTTATTAACCTTCTCCATTTGTTGAGAAACCCTTCAAGGTTCTTGTACGATCCAGAGCCGCAAGGACCTACATCAGGTTTTCCACAGGATCCTGCTTCAACTCCTGATAACTCGCGTTGCTGCTTAGGAATAGTTTGGTTAGACAAGCTCCTAACAAGACTTCGTCAGGTTCCCACCCAGACTTTTCCATAGTTGTTCAAACATGGTGCTTCCAGGATTTAGTACTGATTCTTCTGAGGATCATTAGAAGAATAAGAACGACAATTTCCTCAAGATTCTCTCAAGTTTTCGTCAGATACAGGTTAGGAACTTCATAAAATGATTTACTCTACCTCTTACGTACGTCAGAAAGGACTATTAACATAAGAGTTTTTGTTGCAACTAAGGCTTTCGTTTAACATAAGATTATCTTCTATTCATATTCACTCTAGGTATGCTCAAAGATTGTCAGCTCTCCAATAGCCACAAACTCTTTAGGATTTTGATAGAATCATGCTTCCAGTTCTGTGGAGATTCTAAAATTCCTTGGCTACACACTTTTCATGGCACTCGTAGATTCGTGGCAAAATCGTAGTTGAAATTTAATGGTAATATTGTGAGAATCTTAGAGTATCTTGGATCGAATCATGTCAGAATCATCAAATTCCGTAGTTGCAACCTTTTTTCACAGCTGAGTGACTTTCTCAGGAAAAAATATATAAATCCGGAGAGAATCTTTGATTTAGACGAAAAATGTCGAAAAAACGAAGGACGAAACGTTGAAAGAGAAAAATGTCTTTGGAAAAAAAACTATTGCAAAATTATATACATATGAAAACGATTGTTAAATGTTTTAGAGAATTCTGAATAGCAAAGGATATATTTTATGACATGAATCAGTGTTAACATTGTGACAGAGATCAAATGTAAGTAATCAGTAAGACCGATAATATGTCATATTCTGTTTAGCAACTGTAAATGACAAACCATCTGACTGTTCTATAATATTTTTAACACCATCATAGTATCATTCGCCAAGATTATCTCTACGATGTTCAATAGCAATTGTTTCCGCTTGTTTTAGTATTTCTCATAAACCTTCACAAAGCCGAATAAGCCATTAGCTGCGCATATTCAATACTCACTAGTAAGAGTTATTTTATTCAATCTTAAAGAAAGTATTCATCTTCTATCCGTAAAAATTTAACTTTATTTGACCTGATCAATGAAATAGCTGGAGATTTTGGGGGTGTTACACCTGTCGAAGATGTAGCAACTTCAGCCATAACGATAGAACTTTCGTTATATGATATTTACTCGTGCAACTCTTTTAAGTAGTTTTTATCAAGTAATTCTCATCACAATCATTACTGGACAAAAATCTAGTCTAGAAGCATTATAAAAATAAATAAAAATGAACTATAAGCGATTAGAGTCGCCATTTCCAGAAGACGTCATTTTTTCCGATATTTTTTGACTTCATTATTTACTTTTCGACATTTTCCCATCAGCCTGGAGCCTTATTGGTTCTCTAACGAATTCGGAATGGACACTCTCAAGATTGTTAATAGATAAGCAAAATAAGAACAAATTGATGTATAGATATTTTTGCTACCTGGACGTATGAAATCGCGCTATTTAAACAGAAACACACAGAGAGCACGGATCACGTCTACGCGGGATACAGGGACTATTTGAAAGACATCACTCTCATATTCAAAACAAAGAATGTAACACGATTAAAATAGTAAGATTGTAAAACGGAATCCGATGAAGAGGGCATGGAGCGTGATCTCAATCAAAACCAAAGATAACGATGATGTTGTTAAGCTGTAAATGAAGAGAACGTATAAAGCCCTCGACATATTAGAAGACCTTCCTTGGACAAACGCAGCCGAAGACAGTTTAGAAGATACTCCTGAAATTTGATTTTGTTAATAATTTCTAAAGCTTTTTAATGTTTTTAGCATTTATTTATATTTTAATATTTATGTTTCTTTTTAGTACGAACAATATTTTGCTTCCATCGTCTCAGCAGCATGTCAGCTCTGAGTTGGACAGTTCATGAGAAAAAGCTAATAGGAAAGAGTAGTTAGTAAAAAAAATATTTTCTTTATTAAAAAAAACGTGTTCTGAGATCACTTTAATGCTCCTTTGCAGCACGCTGTGAAAAAAATTGTTAGATTTTCTTTACGAAAATATTCGTTTCAACGATCACAGGACCTAATTAATGCGGTACGCTTCCAAACGTGTCACACATGAAGAGATCTTTCTGAAATAAGAACATCTTCGGTAAAAACCCATTGTCCATTAATCAAAACTTCGCTTCGTCTGTGGACTTTCTTCTAGAAATTTTGACGTTCTTATCATGCAAGATCTTGTTCATAATTGGAAAAAATGTATCTCTGAGGACATACAATGATACGTGTCCTATGAAATTCCTCTCATATGTCCGAGGACGTATCTCTTTTCGCATGAAGATGCCAAGGTGCTTTTCGAAGCAAACACAAAAGATTCTAAAATCACTCTCAACGTGTATTCGATCGCACTTTTTCTGTAAATTGTTTCTTCGTAGACAACCATATTCATTAAAATTAGCTAGAAACTAATAACTAAACTGGTGGTACATTTCATCTTGAATCAATTCTATTTATACAAGCCAATCCTCAACATAAGCAGCTAACTGAAATAACTTTGAAAAAAAAAGGGTTAATTTTCTTTCGCTAAGCTATTGATACCTCTGAGTAAAAGGCTCTCTCCCATTATTTCTGTGCTATCATACTTCGCATCAAATTTATGATCAAATAAAGATATGACATAAGAGTTTTATTTCAGTGTGATCTATACCATATTGAAATAAAACACTTATGTCATATCTTTATTTGGTCATAAATTTGATGCAAAGTATGATAGAATAGAACGAAACAGGGTGAAAGATTTCTGTCCGAGAGTGTAGTTATACAGAACATAACTGCCACCAATGATAGATTGTATTCTTTAGGAAAAATAGTCCTATTATAAATCGCACAAAACATTTAAGATATGTTGTCTATATTGTTTTGAGAACACTCTTCTAACCAACGATTGTTTTCTCTTTTTTGAATTAAAATATTATTTGCTTTCTTTCCATTTATGAGTGCGGGATAAGTAAAATAAAGTCGTTTACTAACGGTATATGGGACAAAAAAGTGTTGAAATTAGGATTTTTCCTTGAGATCACCAAAGTATTTGACTTTTTTTAGAGACATAATACAAGACCCCACTCGTGACTTGTGAATGATAAGACAGAATAGAAAAGCCGGGGCCTTCTATTCTGTCGAGGGCTTTACTCAACGATCGCTCACACATCTCATACACGAAAAATTACAGACAAACATCAGAAGGTTACCTTTCACCCACAACTTCCTCTTCAGAAGCTCTGAAGAAATATGAGAAACAATCTCTGTATTTCCTAGGACCTAGGAAGAAGTGAAACGCTGAAAATGCTGTTTAAACTGTCATAATCACCCGTTCTGTTAGGAAACGGTGATAAACGGCAAGAAAAAACATGATCATCACTTCTCTTGTCATTTTTACGTCTAGTCAGCGTTTCCAAGAGTTATTCACATTAAATAATCTCTGAAACGGTTATATAAGTCATTTTCTTCTTCATGAAAGATAATGAGAAATGTTTATGAACATCTTTTCCAATGAAAACAGCTGCAAATGCTTAAAGTAGATTTATCTTTTTTTTTGGACTGGTTCTCATAATTATTTATATTCTCGTGAATTTGTATTTTTTATTGTTTCACAGTACGCGTGAAAGACATTTAGTTCGTTTGGAGCTTCCATTTATCTTTTGATCTGCTGAATTAATTCAAACAAATATTCTCTGTAGATTTAATTATGTGAAAAAGAGTGCCGGGGATGGCGTAGTGATGGTTCTATGCATCTGATTATAGTCAGAGATCAGAAGGTTCGATTCCTTCTCCCGACATCGCGCACTCGGTGTCAAGATATATGGTATCAAAAGAATAAACAAAAGAAAAAGCAACGATGCACGCTACATCGTCATCATTGGCTTGAATTCGATTTTCATTCTGTTCGTTTTCATTTCTTTGCATTCTTTCTCTGTTTATTATCATTATCCTATCCGTTGCATACATTCGTAAGCGTCCGTAAAAATTGTAAAAAATCTCCCAAAAACAATTATGGCTGTCACGAATAAAATTCAGCATAATTAAAAAAAAATGTGAAAAAGAGTTCCTTTGATTAAAGTAAGAATCTGCATAACATTGACATCATATGAATCAAAGTCATGTATTGATGCGAAAATTAGAATATCGAAAAAATACAGGTTGATTTTATTGATTTAAAGTCTCAATTTTCCATACTATGGGTTATTTAATTTCAATCTGAATTTAAAAAAAAAAAGAGCACTTGATTTCAAATTGAAATAAGGGACTAAGGGACTAAACGAACTAAAGGGACTAAAGGGACAAAAGGGACTAAGGGACT